GAAGAAGAAGAAGAAGAAGAAGAAGAAGAAGAAGGGAAGGAGAGAGAGAGAGAGAGAGAATAGATCTACAGGTATGATACGGTGCACTACCGGTAGACTACTCGACATCAAGGGTTCCGGGGTGCCAGCTTTGGAATTTCAGGTTTCTATCGGCATGATAGGCCTGCTGGCACTCGAGTATCATATCATGTTCCTCGAGTGTTTTCCCTGTTTTTTTCCCTCTCTCTCTCCTCACTTGCAGAGTCATGAGCGGCCCCCGGGCCACCAATCCGGTGGAAATTGCAGACGAAACCCTGACGACAGAAAGAAAAAAAAGGACTCGGGCAAGAGGGAAAAGGGCGGGGTGCCAACTGTCACTACTGGCGCTCTATCCGTGGGTCGAAGCTTCCCTGTCCTTGCGTGCCCAACCATTTCACACGCCATCATCGACTTCCCATTTTCAGACCACCAATACCCCTTTCATATCACTGCAACGGACGCAGGCGTGAAGGGGAGGCATTGGAATGAACCGAACCATCCTGCCGCGCGCCGCGACAGACTGAAGAATGGCGATGTTCATCGAATCCCGAGCCATAGGCTACTCGCACTGATATAATACTGCACTCGTATCCACTGATGACCAGCGAGAATACTGTAGACTATCGGTAGCAGAGAATGCTGGATGATCACGTGAGAACGTGTAATGGATGATTTTCATTGGTGGCGGTGACAGCGGTGTCTTTCCCTCGTATCATATTCACACGGGCATTAGTATTGTACTCGTACGGTACTTGTAACTTACGTGTTGTGGCCACGTCCGCGGATTTCCAGAGGTGCAGCAGGGTGATGGTTCACCCGCGGCAACCAACCACACTGGTGGATAATTAAGAGTTTTCCATGCAGACGCCTATGAAGTCATCCCCGCAGGGACATTATCGTGGACCCATCCTGAGTCTCCTCTCCCCAGCCCATCTCGGCCCACTCGAGCGCACACGCTACCACCAGCATACTCGTAGACTACGGCACAGCGCCGTAAATTACCCGTCACTTCTCAGTTCCCCAGAACATAGGCAGCCGAGAATAGGAATACGGGAGCAGCGAAATATGCACGGATTAGAGGATAAAATGTTTGACGGCCATTCTTCCCAAATCAACTGTAGACTGCAATCACCTCTCAAAAGTATTGTCCCACTTTCTAAAACCCCACCAAAAAGTGCATAAACACAGGTAATTAACTAGCCCATTTCTATATAATGAAGTATTGTAAAAAAAAAAAAAAATACAGAAATTTTATATAAGTCACTTTTTATAAGGGTTATTTCATAATCTAACTAAAATAGTAAACATTTGATATTTGCATGATTTGCACCTGGATCCATCTAGGCATGGTACAAGGGTAGACCATGAATTCATGGTACAGAGCAGGGGGGGTGATTCTTCATTGGTAAGGTAATTTTGGAACACAGGAAAACTCGGCTGTTCCAACTTATGGTCATGTGCAACAATAACGGAAGGCTGATTTGCGGATAGGTATCAGTGTTGGTATTCTCGCTTAAACTAACACTAGTGGATTGTAGGCCTAAAGAGCAAAGCGATGATACATATACTTATGAGATCGTTCAAGAGAATTATGAGCGTAATAGTTGTCTTAATTATCCGCAAGATACCGTCAGAAATACGAAGATGGTGTAGTGGTAGTGTTGTGATAAATATCTATGAGTGATATCGTATGAATATGTATTCCATGTATAAACATAAATAGGAACCAACTTGAAGAGACCTCGTATATTATAGCATAAACACTATTCAATCTTCAAGCATTTTTAATTCAATTCTCTTTATAATGCCATCAAACTCAACTGGCCAAAGCGAGCCTAACCTTCCGGTTCCGGGAAGCCCAAGTCCATTACGTACTTGGCTCTTCGATGCCGAAACCTCTGATGATGATAATTCCGATATTTCCTTTCCTAACAGGCCTTTAACCACTTCTACTACCTCTACAAAACCTGGCTCAGAGTCTGAGTATCTTGCTGATTTGGATTCTGAGCCAAGATGCAGTACTCCCTCCCCATGCCCAATCCTACCGGTGAATCCAAACGGGACGTCCGCTCCTCCAAATTCTCAACGTACTATAACGCCAGTTTCAGACCTCGGTCCTGAACTCAGGCAAGGAAGCTCTGAAATCGATATTCCTCCTCTTCGTACCGAAGTCACTATTGGCTTATGTCATAAAATCTGTGCTCTCAAGCACTTCACCCGCTGGCCCTATCGCCAAATCTCAGCTGCAACAGGAGTTGCACTCTCTACGGTATACCGGATTGCGCATCCTCCTGTTACTCCTACTCATAAAAGTTTGCGGGGCCGGCACTGTATCCTTCGGACTCTACACCGAGAAAAGCTTGTTCAGATAGCGACTTCCTCAGCTGAGAACCGCCGCAAGCCATATCTTGAAATAGCACAAATGGCAGGTTTTACTGCTTGTACCCGTACCCTACATCGAACAATGTCTTCTGCTGGATATCATCGATGTGTTGCTTGAAAGAAGCCTTTTCTTTCTAAGAAAACCCGCTTGGTATGTGCTTTTTTTTTTCTTTCTATAAATTATCCTGTCCTCCAAGCCATATATATGGTACCAAATGCATTTAAGTTTCTGCTTCCTACCTACATCTCAGATAAATAATGTAGCGATAGAATGAGTAGGATATAGGACAACTTGAGTGATTTAAAAAGATACCAGAAATGGTCTATTTGTTTTGTTGGTGTTTTATTTTTATTTTTATAATATACTAATACATGGTGTTTAATTGTAGGCACGCTCAGCCTAGGCCAATACTTATAAGGTTTGGGGTATACAAGATTAGTCAAAGGTCATCTAGACAGATGAATGCGCCTTTAATGTCAGAGGTGCTCCTGGCCGGGTTTGGATTACATGAAGAGTAGGGGAAGAATTTGATGAATCTTACCTTGTTCCGAAGTTTAAAAAGCTAGACTCAATTCTAGTTTGGGCTTGTTTTGTTGGTCGCCATAAAGGGCCACTGATAGTATGGGATAAAGCGGCTTGGGGAAAAACTATCACAGCAAAAGGATACCAAACTCACATTCTTCCCCATGTAGATCAATTTTGGCATAATGAGTCTGTCCGGACATACGACTATGTCTATATTCAACATGACAATGCCTCACCTCATCTGGCCCGTACTACTATTACTGACCTACAAGACCATGGGCTTTACAACTATCTTCTTCCTTGGCCCGCTACCTCGCCGGACCTCAACCTAATTGAGCCTGTCTGGAGATTAATGAAATCTCGTATCAGCAAGCTTCACCCACGCCCTCAGAACAATAAGGATATGATTACTGCAATTCATAACGAGTGGAACAAAATTACAGACTACGAACTAGGACAGATTCTTGATACCATGACTGATCGTGTTGATACTGTCCTTAGTGCCAATGGTGGCCATACAAAATATTAGTTCTTACTCTAACTTATTTTTTATCTCACTCTTCTCTTTCACTTTTTCTCTTTCTCGCTCTTTTACTCTCCCGGTCTCTACCCCCCCCCTTCTCCTTAGTCTTCCTCTTATTTTTTCTCTCCTACTTACTCCTTCGCTTGTACTCTCCCTCTCTCTCTCTCTCTCTCTCTCTCTCTCTCTCTCTCTCTCTCTCTCTCT